ACAAGTTTGTCTTGCTGTTGGAGACCTCTCGTATCACCCCCACCTGGGTCCCTGTGGCTGACTGTACCTCTGTTTTGCTTCCTGGCTTTTAATCCCCTTTCTCCTGCTCTTCTGGCCTGCTGCTTTGGGCGTCCCTGAGTTGTCCCTGGGGCTGCTTTATATAAACTCCAAAATTCAAGGTTACCTGCTTTGGAGCAACTTAATGCACACAGTTATTGACCACTACCTGCCTTGTTAAAAAGAGAGCAGTCCAAATATGATACACCTTCTATTAGTCAGTTAATTTTGTGTTAGACCTATTTAGGCAATTATCCTAGGTTCACAATGGAAAAAAATATATTTAATTCAGTCAAACAAATTGAAAAAAAAAAAAAAACTAGTGAAAAACAGCAGTTGGTTTTGTCTCTTCTCTGCCTTGACTTGTATTTCTAGATGCAGCTTGGGATATTACTAATAGGAATGCTCTCTGCTACTGCTAGTTAAAAGTAAAACAAAATAGCACAACATGAAAACATCTGAGTACATGGCTGAATGAACATGGCCACTGCTGATGGTCCATTACTTCCATGCTATGCCTTCCAGGTCCCCTCGTGGAACAATTACAACCCCATGACCTGGCTTATGGGCTTAGCTGGGGAGTTGTTGATGACAACGATGATGATGCTTGGCTTTTCCATAGGCTCACCATCAACGCAGAATGCCAGCTCCAGCTGCACAACTTCCCCATGGATGAGCACTCATGCCCACTGATTTTCTCCAGCTGTGAGTACCTGTGGTGTATATGCTGTGAAGGAGTGCTCAGTGGGGATCTGGGGTCTGGAATAGAGTGATGGGATTGTTTACAGCTGCACTGTTCAACCAGATAAAACTGATGAGAGTTTTGGTGTTGGCCAACCAGGGGTTTTCATTCTAGAATTTGTCACATAGGAACTGTGTTATCAAGTAGGTAAATAATACTATGTGCAACCTAACTATTCATTATTCTGTAGACCCATAATGCCATAAGGAGCCTTACACTAATGAGTTGTGCATGCTATTTGGAAGTATACAAAATTCCTTTGGAGTATATTTAGATTTAACATCATCTTAAAGCAAGGTGATTTGTCCTCTAAATAGAAAGATCATTTTTTTTCTTTAAATATATTTACATTTGTCTTATTGAGTGCTTGTGAAATGTAATTTTCCACAACATTTTATCTTCCAATATTTTGCTTTTTTATTTTTATTTTAAGAGCTTGTTTTATATTCAACGTAATGTGTACATTTAGTTTCATTCCCCATTTGCCATGTCCAACCCTAACTCAGTCTCCTCCCCTCCCTACCTTATAACCCTTCCCCTGTGCCCCTCATATTTATGCATTCCTATTTGTCCTGCATTTTCTGTTTGAATGTTGGTGCTCTGATGTCCCATGGTCTATTGCTCTAAGGGATGTATTACCATAGAGTATGTGGGTGCATCATCCTGGGTGGAGTGGTCTGCATGTACATCTTGTTAACTATTGGGCTGAGAGCTCACCCTTGGGGGTGAGTTTTATTCCAGGTGCAGAATGTATTCCAGGGCCATAGTATTAGGAGTCTCACAAGATTTCATCTGACCAGTAATTCTGGTCATTATTGAGTTTTTGGATTTTTTTCCACGTTTTCCCTCCCACTCTATCCATGATCTCCAGATTTGATCCTTTCCTGAGTGGTTGGCATTTGTAGCCAGGCACCATCTAGTTTTTCTGGTCTCAAGGGCCATCATGTCCTAGGGCTGATTGCTTTTAAATGCCCCCCCCCCCTTTTTGTGTGTGTTCTTCTTCATTTCTGCTGCTAGGAGACTAGAAGCTGCATCTTAGATGGCTGCTTGAAAGCTTTAAGACCCCAGTCACTACTCACCAATGTAGGATGTAGAGCAACACTTTCAGTATTTTGTTGTGCCAATTGTGTCTGGTGCCCCCCAGTCCTATGGTCCTGAGATGGTAGATCTATTGGATCTCTCTCCCATAGTGTCTGGATGCCTGTGAGAGATTACTCTGTGCCTGTCTTCTATTGTTTCTGTAAGGACTGCAGGTATTTTGTATCACTTTGTATCATTTTTATCACTTGTGTCTACCCAAGATTAGCCTCAGCTGAATCTATCCTTGGTCTAGAGTATACCTCTGTTCACTGACCCCCTTCTGATCATATCAGGTGTTTATGTGTTTATATGTATAGCCTAGTGTTCGGTGTTAATGGCAATGTGGCATTGTGGACACATTGGTTGGTATTAGCATCTGTTGTCTATCTCTTATGTCCACAATTCAGTGCCCTCTCATTTCCCAATGTTATTATGGTGGTCATATATGCTTCCCGTATATCCCTTCCCCTACCCATGTCAGCATGTATGCCCCAACTAGCTCGAAATTAATCCCTCACCTTCCCTGCCCATCCCGGTAACCTACTAGGTGAGTCCTCTTTCTCAAGCAAACCCTTCTCTGTCTTTTTGACAGTAATGGGCTCATACAGTACTTGTCCTTCTGCGACTGACTTATTTCACCAGCATAATGTCCTCTAAGGAGCTCTGGTAGCTTAGTGCCTAAGGCACTTGACTACTAACCAGAAGGCTGGCAGTTGAAATCCACCAGCCGCTCCTCGGAAGGAAGATGGGGCAATCTACTTCCATAGTGATACTGCCTCAGAAACACGGGGAGGGGTCGCTATGAGTCAGGTCCGACTTGACGGCACATAACAACAACAACGTCCTCCAGGTTCATCCACGTTGTGAGATGATTCGTGTATCCCTCATTGTTATTTAATGTGGCATAGTATTCCATTGTGTGGATATACCATAATTTGGTTATCCACTCATCCGCTGATGGACATTTAGGTTGTTTCCATCTCTTTGCTATGGTGAATTGTGCTGCGATAAACATAGGTGTACATATGTCTGTTTGTGCTCTATCTCTCACCTCTTTAGGATATATTCCTAGTAATGGAATTGCTGGGTCAAATGGTACTTCTATTTTCAGTTTTTTTAAGGAAATGCTATACCGTTTGCCACAATGGTTGTACCATTTTACAATCCCACCAGCAGTTTGATATCATAGCTAATACGTAATCATTTTCAAATTCTTAAAGACAACACCTTAATGCTAAGTACAAAAATACAGTTTAAAAGATACATCAAATGCCAAATTTATTTACTTATTGAGTAAAGATAAGTAAATATCAATATATAAATGTGTCTGTTTAACTCGTGGTGATTCCTTTTAAATGTATTAATTGTAATTTCTTAAGTATGATTCATAAGAGTCCAATTAACACTATTGACTGTCTATATAATTGTATTTAGGATGTGACAAAAAAGCTTGATAAAATCTTATGCAGAAGGTTTTGGACATTATAGTGAAAAGACAAAAATGAAATAAGGAGATGAACATACTTTACAATTTATTTATATTTAGAAAAAAAACAAGACAGAAGACAATATTTTACTGATCTTAGATGGGGGTCAATGCAGAGAACACTGTGATTTGTTGAATCCAACCTTTAAATAATACATACAAAAATGCTATTTTATTTGTTGCTAACACCAATATTCAATGTCTTGTATGTGGATAACTGCAGTTTCTGAATGGCTGGTAAACATGCCTATAGACACATTTTGGCTGGCCATTTTCTATTTATATAATCACTATATGAGTTATAGGGCCATTCAAATTGTCTAGTTCTTTGTACATCAATTTGTGTAAATATGCAGCCACTCCTCACTTACTGACCTGGTTATTTTTCAAATACCAGGTTATTATGCAAAAAATGGTGTTAGGCAAAAATGGAGGATACCCACATGAATCTGCAAAGTGGAGGACGGTTGCATCATTATGTAACTGCCAAATTGCATCATTTTATAATTGTCAAATTGCATCATTACTTAAGTGCCAAACCACTGAGAATCATAGCCCAGCTAAGTTGACACATAACCTTAAAAAACACAGCCAGCCAGCATTACTCTAACCTAGCACCTTGGTGTGGATAACTACTAGACATACACTTAAAAAAAAAAAAATTTAGATAATATATTTTTTTAACTATTGTCATCAATGTGAAATATCAGGTAATGAGATAAGTGAGGAGTGGGTGTGTATATATATGAATATATTTTCTAGTAATCTATCCATTTAACTCTTTTCCATTTTATTGAGCCAAATCTAATTTGGCTTTATTGATCTTCCATTGATTTGATGGGCTGTTAACTCATCTGAATTTGTAATATCAATGATTATTTTGCACCATTAGACATTCAATTATTAGACATTCATATTATGTTTTCTAATATCTTATGTAATTTTGACAGCTTTTTATTTTTTCATCAATTTTCGATATTATTGATCTTTCCAATAACTGCAGTCTTTGTAAGAACAGTTGTACAATTGATTATATCTCTTTACTCTGCCTCATGGTACCTTGTTTACTTATCAACACAGTCATTTATTTTTCGTTTGAACTCACACTCCCCAGAACTTTTTTGGGGAATATTTCAGGTTTTAAGGTAGCTCATTCTAAAGAGGGCTTGCCAGACCACTGCCTGGTATCTTTATCTCTTTCCCTTTTATTATTGCTGTTGAGAATATACAAAATAAAATTGCACCAATTGTAAAATTTCTACATGCACAATGCAGTGATATTGATTATTTTCTTCAACTTGTACTGCCATTCTTACCTCCTTATCTAATTTTTTTCCTTATTGACAAAACTTCTCCTTACACTTCATATTTAACTTTTCTAGTTTTTATTATCAACTTGATCCCGCACAGGTAGTTATTTAAGAGAGCACAATGTTCATGGCTGACAGTTTTTACTAGTTAAGCTAGATTGTTCTTTAATTTTAAGAAGACTTCCAGGGATATTTTTGGTTTATGGTTTATGGTTTCAGGGTTAAAGAATAGGCAATAGTTTCAGAGTTCATACAATCACAATGACTCCAGAAATTCTGGATTGTGAGAATTTGAAATTCTGCTCTGTAATGTTTCCATTTTGATCAAAATTTCTCTATAGAAACTCTGTTAAAAACATTAAGTAATAGTAACAGGGCACAATCCAGTTCTTTTGGTCTCATTGTAAAAGATACAATTGTTCATGGAAGCAATTAGCCAAAAATTCCATTTCCTCTTATTTCTGATTCATCTTTTTCCTTTGTTGCTCCAAGCAAATAGAGACAACTTGTTATATGTTGGGTGGGTGACTGGTTGGAAGCTTTAAAGGTCCTGGATACAGCATTAATTGCGAGTTAGAATGTAGGTACTAAAGCTAATGTTAGGCCAATTAACTGTTGTTGTTGTTGTTGTTATGTGCTGTCGAGTCGGCCCCAACTCATAGCGACCCCTCCTTGGGTTTCCGAGGCAGTATCACTACGGAAGTAGGATTGCCCATGTTCTAATGAGACATTCTAGTTAGGCCAATTAACTAGAATGTCTCATTAGAACATGACCCTAAATCTCCAAACTAAAAATCAAATGCCATTAGGATATTTTTGTTGCACGTAAGCAGCTTCAGCAGCTGCTCTTCTTTGTTGTTGTTGTTGTTGTTATGTGCCGTCGAGTCGGCCCCAACTCATAGCGACCCCTCCTTGGGTTTCCGAGGCAGTATCACTACGGAAGTAGGATTGCCCATGTTCTAATGAGACATTCTAGTTAGGCCAATTAACTAGAATGTCTCATTAGAACATGACCCTAAATCTCCAAACTAAAAATCAAATGCCATTAGGATATTTTTGTTGCACGTAAGCAGCTTCAGCAGCTGCT